GTTTAGATTGCAGCATGCTCTGAACATGGCGCTCCATTTCATATGTGTGTTTTCCAAATCAGCCAATGTCCGAAGAGGCTATAGGAATCACTAGTATTCAAATAAAAGCAAATAAAATGTTCTTCAACAATGAAGAATAAGAGTTCAAGCTCTTCGAAGACTTCATCATGTTTCTTTCCAAAACATATGTGGACTGCATGTAGCATTCAGGTTTGTAGCTTTCATCACAGTCAGGATTTGAGTCCTATAGCCAGGAATCACTAGCGAGAAACCTACCAGGTACTCCCTCATTAAAGCTCATAATGCCGTTGACGACGCCTTAGTACTTCTTATGGACCAAGTAAACCAGGAAATAGTAGGAAAATTTATATTTCCATGCACTTATCCAAGTGATTTTCAGCAAAGAGCAGGACAATATGAAAACATTTATAAATGCCATACAGTTTTAGGCTATTTCTAAAGCAATAGCTATCAAAGCTGCTCGTTCTTACTAACAACTATCCCATCTGAGGCTTGCAGTTGACAGAAATGGATCTGATGGATTGAAAGCATTGCTCTCTAAACCTACAGCCTGGCAAATCAAGCGTTTCATTATGTTCATTAAAAAAACATGTTTCCTGATTAAATTGACTCAGAAAATATATGATGTTTCTTTTCTCTGACCTATTTTGTATATTTGTTTAAACGGATTCAACTCTTAGACGTTGGTATGTGCACTTTTATCTGCTTCTGTACATCAACAGGCTTTTATGAGATTGCACTATGAGATCTACATGTATAACTAAAACACATGTATTTGTAAAGGGATGTTTCTCGCAAGTAATATAAATTTTCATGACAAAATAATTCTTGTATAAATCTGCAAAGTGTGTTCGTGAATTTTAACTCTAATGCTCCTGTATGGTAGCTAATGATGGGGGTTGAGCACATGTGGTTTTAATTTGTTACTGTCATTGACCAAATATGTACAGCTTTTGTTAGATTGTCACATAATATCTCTTGCTCAATAGACAATGAGTATATTATGATGACTGATTTTATATTGTTTAACCTCTCTCTAATATGGAGACGTCAACGAATGCCGGTGAAAGGCTTCAAATTTTGACTTTTACTCGGCACTCAGGGCCATTGCGCAGTAAAGGATCTTTATCGTGCCAACGCCTGCCACTGACATGTGGCCTCGGTTTTTTAAAGTCTCATACGAAGGACCCGCAACATTCACTTCAAAGTGCCGAGCAAATGGCGAAGGAACAGTTGCTTCCCATTTTTACGACTATGTCAATAGCGGCCGGGATACGAACTCACGACCTCTCTTTCCCGGAGCGAGCGCTCTACCGACTGAGCTACCGTGAACGGTTATATTTTTATGTTTTAAGTGATACCCTCGTATTTTATCAAACATGTCTGCACTAAATGGAGCATTAGTTGAATACTTATGTGTTTTTGAGATGCAAAATATTTATAATTGAAAATTTATTTCAGATTTCAAATTGAACAAAAATGCCTGATAATATTGAGCTTATTATGGATTTCTTCTTTAATATTATGAATAATGATAAATAATTTCTCTTCAAATATTTCAATTCTGCATAATTACATGTACATATGATAGTCTTTCTCCTGAAAGTAGTCTTCAGGTAATTGAATAAAACCCCAAGGTCGAACATTTTCTTCCGTGTTTTCTCTCCAGAGAGCAACTTTACCTCTGGAAGATGTACATGTATCTTCAGTGTAGATGTTCTTTACTTTTGTCTTCCCTTCTTTAACCACAATAATCTCGTTGCTTCTCTCTATTATTGTTTAATTATTTATAATCTTTTCAATATGGTAAACAGTAAATTTTCCCAAATTCTTGAACTTGTTTATAAAACATCTTTGTTATGTAATCCTTTGTTGTCATGTTACATGATCTAGCATGATAGATTTTGATATTTGATTCTGTACATTAAGTCACATATAACCGTGCATTAACTTGAGAAAACTCACAATTTTTGACTTAATCGACTGCTTTTTGTCAACCTAATGTGCAATTACAGGTAACTTAATGTAAAGGTTTCAAATGATGAAAACAATACATATTTCTGAACTTTGTCATTGACTTATCAAAATTTACAGTAATCAAAATTGAAAGGAGTTTTCGCAACCTAGCTTCCTCCCTTGTTGAAATAAGTAGAATTTGCTCAAGTCCCATCAGATGAGAACAAAAAGAAAAATCATTTGGCTTTTAAACCAAAGATTTATATTTTGCTGTTCTTCAAAAGAACACCATGGGAATGCCAGAGAAAATGACCAATAAAGTTTTATATCTATCTCAGTTTCACCACTTGTGTACCAGAAGCCAACAGAATAAGTCATTGTAGAACAGGAGGAGAATGGGTTTTTGAATCTTCGGAAGAATATTTGAAAACACCAGCAACAGACAGTTAACATACTTATAGATAACGTGTAATAAGGTTCAATACTCAGCAGAATGAATACAAAGAAGATGCTCTGTTTGTTCAGGAATCGGTAAGAAGTTAGCAAGCAAAACTGTTGCCACCTACATCCAAGAGTCCGTCTTGTTGACTGGATTAAGACAAAACTCTCCTTGGTTCAAAGTAATCTTGAGTGAGTAGCAGATTTCCTGACAAGTCATCAATGATGGAGGCTTTTAGCTGGTGGAGTCGGGTAATTCTGATGAAGACATTCCATAAGACCATATTCGATCCAAATCCATTCTGCAAGTACAAAAGAGATGAAGATACCTGGCTGCAAGTCTTAGAGGCAGTTTCAGTTTGATCAGTAACAATGCATTCAAGCGCTTACAGAAGTTTGATAAGAAGGACAGACATGAGTTTTGGCTATCCTCCAGAAAGGGTTTTTTAAAATTAAGATTTTTAAATGATTCAAAAATCGGGGTTTTTGATAAAATAAATTTTAAATCACGTCTTGAATTTAATATTTTTCAAAATAAATGGATTCTTAAGTCTTGGTATACTTTCTATAAAAATCACTGAACCTTACATGAGAATTGCTGAAGACAATACATTCGTGTGCATATGAGATGAACAACATTTACCGAAAACTTGTTGAACTCTTACACTGCTGTGCCGAGAACCCACATCTCTTTCTTCAAATTCAGGACCATCAACTGTTCTCAGTGATATTGAGCTGGAACTGTCAAGAATCTGATCTTTATACATTATCATTAGCTTTCATTTCCAAATTTGTGAGGCTCTTTATGTTAAATGTGTTCATCTATTTATTTTCTTTAATTTTTCGGATTTTGTTTTCTTTTTGCAAGCATCTTTAAATTCTCTTCTACAAACCGCTTCCATTCCTACAAATAACATAACTGTTGAAAGACTTGTAGCAATATTAGACAACTTTGTAAAGCAAGCACCCATAGTATTAACAATTAACATTGATATTAACAGCATGTACAGAATTAATAAAACTTATTAGTGACTAAATAGCAAAGAATCAAACTAAGTTATTATTGCAACAGCAATGACATAAAAAATATAGTACCTCCATACAGTAAAACAAAGACAAATAACATTGCACACAAAACACATAAAGATCATTAAAAAAAACTCACTAAGAAGAGAGAAACACAACCGAAAAAAAATATTATTTATCATATAAAATATCTGTGGGAATCAGATGATGAATTAAGGCTGGAATAGACTGGGTTAACTGTCAAGCGATCTAGCGAGATTCCACATTTTGAACTTTACTGAACTCTATTATTTGCCAATCAAAGAAAACGAATTCAACAGGGAATTAGTGATAATATTGTAAATTGTGAATAAATTCAATTTAACTCAATTAAAAGGCTGAGACAAACCTTAAACTGGGCAATTCAAAGATAAAGACGTTATCCCTTGGACTATAACTCGCGTGTTTTTCTGTTGAGGCAACTCTCAAGACTCTCCTAGAGGTAAATACAAACATTTTGATTGATATTGTCTGGAACTTTAAGCGTGAAAGACCTCAGGAAATACAGAATGTGATAAGTAAACCTACCAATGACGATTTGCACCTTGTGAGTGAAATTCCAGAGGAATTCAAAATTGAGGACAACGAACTCCGACAGATCAAGACGGATTGAGGAAAGGCGGGGAACTTTGCTGTGATTTTATCTAGGAGGTTGTGGCCAGAGTTTTTCGAAGAGGGGAGTCTGCGTTTCGCATTTAATTGGTATGATGGGGGGGGGGAAAAAAAGGGAGTTACAATTAAGGGAGGTGGCCATCCCGAGATGACCAGTGGGGATGCGTGTAGAGAGCGTTTTGTTTCCAGAGTGAACGAATCCCTCCGAAGGAACGATGAAGGCCAACGCTGTAAGTGTCATTTCCATCTTTGATAATTCCATCCCTCCCCTGAAGCCAAACTGTGATGATGATGTGTTTACTTTCACACATTAGACTTGGTGTTTACCTTTCAATGGATTACTGATATAAATGAAACGTGTGTGATTTGGGATATAATTGATACTATGTACTTGTATTATCAAAGTGTATATGCTTGTTGTGTTCAACTCTAAACTTTAAACTGGCAAGACTGTTATCGTTTTGAATATTATGCTAATCATCAGTGTGTTTAATTGTACGATCTGTTCTTAATTCATAAAAAATAATTGAATTAATCCAACATTGTTTCTTGGAAATAAAAACAAAAGCGACCAACTAATTTTTTTTTTTGAGTAACTTAGTGAAGAAAGGACAAATGGTCACCAATAAATTGTTTGATTTTCAATAGCGGGGGTACACCTTTTGTAACCTTAAAGAGACACTACGGTTGACTTTGCGATTTTATGAGGAAATAATAATTTTCCCATAACTTTTTCAAATTTTGTTGCATAGTTGAATGTATGAACTTTGCGAAAATTACACATTTCTAAAGTTTAAAATTCTCATTTAATCAGTAAAATTAATAATTTTTGACGGTCTATACAAAAAATATCGTCTGTCTCCTCCTTCGTTACTTTGCGCATGCGCTGAAATTGTAAACAGTGAAGCATGGCGTCAAACGAGGGAAAGCGTGCAGTTGGAAGACCCCGAATTTTAACAGAATCGGCAAGAAAAAGAGCGAAAAAAGAACGAGACAGAGTACAGTTGAGGACAAAGGTATACTTAGGAGATCAGTATGACCGATGGATGAGAAAGAAAGAGGAACTAGGTGAAACTCACGCTGGACTGGCGAAGATGCTGCTTGACAAGTAAGTGAAAAATCTCGAGTCTCCACACATGTATTTTTTTTACTGCAGCAGTTTAAAACGACTGCTTTGTCAATTGCACAAAGAGATATTACCTTTATTTTATAAAAATAATGATTTATATTCATAAAATTGTCCAAATAGAGATAAATTTGGCAATATTTTTAAAGGTTCATGAATGAATGGGGCCCCCTGAGGGGCAATTGAACGATGTTTCATTGATTACATTTTTAAGGCAGAATTTGTGGGGGAAACTTATTACTGGTGTGAAATATGAATTTCTTTGTGCATTGTGAGAAGAGTTATGATTATTTTGAACATATTATTTAACCAAAATTCCATTTTAGGTTTTTGACAGACAGTGAAACAGAATCAGCTGATCAATCAACTGGTAGTGCAACATTTGTAATGGTGGGGAAAACAGGAAAAGAAAAGTTCTCGACTCCTGTTGGGGAAAAGAGCAAAACAAGATTCATTTGCCCCCCAGATGTTTCTGAAATTTCTTCAGCTTTGAGGTAAAATTAAAAAGATAGAACTTATTTTATGTTCATTTTAATTTCTTTGAATATAGAGTATATATTGGTAGTGTTTACTGTCATTTAGAATATAATCAATGAAAATTTTGCTGCATTTTTGCAATTAATATATGATTTCTTTTTTAATTATATGCACATTATTTGATGTATGAAAATATTTTCTCAGTGAGAACACAGATGTCGATGTACCTGAACCAAAGAAAACACCCAGCCATTCATTGCAAAGCGGAGAAGAATCTCCGGGGTAAATGAGCTTTTTTTTTAACCCAAATTATTATGAATTTATTAAGAAAAATAAGTATAAAATACTTTTAGAATTCATTTATTATTACAAATAGAGATCTTAAAATAATTATGTTTTTTTTGTGTTTGGCTGTTTGCTTTTTTTTTAATTTACACTTGAACTATGTATTATTTGATATGAAATAAATAACTGTATATATATATAAAGAAATGATCCAATTTCATGTATTTTTAGCCCAAGTCGGAAAAGGAGAAAGCTGTTCAAAGAGGTGAAAGATACCTCATATGTAAACCCGTTCGAGTAAGTTTATATTGTCCAAGATATTTAATTTGTTATCATGAATGTATTTTATTGGAAATATTTACTGTCTATGGCTTTTACATTTAGCCCCATTTGCCAGTTTGTTGTAAAAACATTGGTCATATATTCAATAAGAAAGATCTTTAATAACTTGTATGTAAATCACCATGACCTTCAAGTTTGACCTTTCAAATCTTGTGTATCATTTCTAATCGATGAGTACATGTACTGTGAATGGAGAAAGTTTTCATGCCTTCGGATCAAAAGATCCAGGGGCTTTATTGTTTTTGTGCTGTCAGTTTTTTTGTCTCTCTGTCTGTTGTCAACTTTAACCTAGCCCATAACTATTGTATACCTTTTCAGACTGCACCCCACTCCAGAACAGTGTTACCAGAGGGGGGGGGGGATAGTGTTTCACTTAAACACATCTTGTTTTGTTTCATTGTATGTACTCCCTTCTGTGTTTGTTTTATCAGCATATCCTTAATAGATGTTACATGTTCAGTTCAGTAAAAGAGTAATTATAATGAAAAATTTTTGTTGATTTATAGTGTTACAATAGATATGTCTGAGGAAAGTGCCAGCGACATTGATTCGGATGAAGAATACGAACCCAGTTTCAATGTAACCATCAGGTAAAATAAGAATTTGTAAAATAAGAATGTTCCTATAGATATTTAGAGATGTATTTTTTTTAATTGAGAAAGCATTAAAATTTCATATGAACTCACATATTACCTTTCGTACAATTAGACCAAACAACATGCAGGGAATCGAAGAAGTAACACTGGAAGAAGAAGAGTTTGGGAAAGAGGAATGTGAGGGAGATTTGGAGGAAGAAGAGAGACCTGAGGACACTGGTCCAGGGATTACTAAAATCACCTCTGAAGATGATGTCCATTTGTTGACAGAGGATGACACATGCTTAGTGTACAAGAAGTGTCTTTTGCAGTTGGCTACTACCAATATCAGCAACATGTGTAAAGTCAAAGGATGTAACATGCCTATTGGGAACCGTACAGAGAGTGTTGGTTCAGCATTGTATATCTATTGGGTAAAAATTTTATGCTCTTAACTATTACAAATAATGCTAAATGGTCCAAGGTCTTTTTCATTTGGGGAGTGGGATGTTGACTGTCTAAAACTTTTGTTTCATGAAAACATTAAATTAAAGTTGAATGCAGTTCAGTTTTGTCACTAGAAAAGTAGGATGATAACATCATTTTGAAAACAATATTCTTTCAGTTATTTAATGTTAACATCCATAATTTTTTATAAAATGCTTCTCAATATTTTTCAGGAATGTGCCAAAAAGCATATAGCATACAAGTGGTGTTCCCAGCCTGTGCTGAACAGACGCCTACATGGTGGTGATGTGCAAATAGCATCAGCTATCTTGGCATCAGGGAACAATTTCTCAAAAATTGCCTTATTTGCAAGATTCTTGAGATTACATTTTTTAGGAACTGTTAAATTTTCAAACATCCAAAGGACTTATGTGGTACCCACAATCAACTCTTTTTGGAAAGATGAACAGATGGAAGTCTTTCATCAGATGGAAGGCCAGAGTATTGTTGCTTTAGGTTTGTAAATCATTAATGAAAAATATATTTAGAAAAATCACAATGTAACCAAGTTGAATATAGTTGCTCTATATTATTTTTATACAATGTAGGTGATGGCAGAAATGACAGCCCTGGACACTCGGCACAATACTGCACCTACACCATGATGGATAATTCCACAAAGAAGATTGTGTCCATCATCACGATGGATAAGAGAGAAACTGGCAAGAAGAGCCCCAACATGGAAAAAGCCTGTTTCGTCAAAGCAATGGACGAGATTCAGGATAATTTGAATGTGGAAGAAGTTGTAACAGATGCTCACCTGCAAATAGGAGCACTGATGAGTAAGCATATTTGTGTAATTTGTTTCAAAATCAAAGACATTGAATACCACCTTAAATCTGTATTAATGATTTTTTTTTTTGTTTCAAAGAGAATAGATTCCCAGACATAAAGCACTCCCATGATATATGGCATGCGGCCAAGAATCTGGGAAAGAAAGTTGTGGCAGCAGGACAGGCCAAGGAGTGCAGAAGTTTGATTGACTGGAGCAAAGACATAGTCAATCACTTCTGGTATACATGCTCCTCTGCTACAGATGTAGACAGTTTTCTGGTAATTTATTTCTGAGATTTTACAACTAGATTTTTTGTTTTGATATAATTTAAGACCAGTTATTAAGTTTAGAACCGCATATTATCAATCAATAAATATTGAAAATTTTCTATCCGTAAGTAATTGATGTTAAAATAAAGCTTGCAGATACATTTGATGGCATGAGAAATTGAATCTCAACATTTATACAGTTGTCAAATGTATACCTCATCTTATTTCTGGTATTGATATTTTGGTTTCCAAAACACCAAATTTCAGCTGTAATGCTATATTCGTAAGATTTGTTAGGTGTTTTGATTTCCATTATAAATTGGGCTGTGAATTATTGCAGGAGATTTGGTGTGGAATTGTACATCATGTTGTTGATGAACACGAGTGGGACATGTCTTATAGCAGCAACTACTTTGGAAACACCCAATGCAAGCATGGTCCGCTTGAGGATGAACATAAAGAATGGATGGTGAAAGGCAGTGCAAGTCACAAAGCACTTATTAAGATCGTTTTTAATAAACGATTCTTAAACCAAATTCATTACTATTTGAATTTTAGGTAAAATCATGCATATGTTTTTTTTTAGTCAAATAATTTGAACATATAAAGTTTACCTTTACAGGCATATTTCTTATATAAATGTTATTATCATTTTAATTTTATACCCCTTTAGGGAATTATGAAAAATGGATATATATGTTGTTAGTTGTCCTGAAGAAATACTGATTTATATTTTACAGGAGTACAGCAGAATTGGAGAATTTTAACAACCTAATTCTTATGTACAGTGGGAAGCGGTTTGCTTATTCACCCCCTGTGTATCGTGCCAGGAGCCAGCTTGCAGCCCTGGATTATAATGCTAACGTTGACAGGGAGGTGAAAAGGAAATCGGATGGAACCATACAGTAAATGATTTTCTTAATTACAAAATGTTACATCCATATGCTCTAAGTTGCAAGAATAAATATCATCAACACAGTTACATAATAATTATTATTTGATCAAATTTATGGTTTTCTTTTCATCCAGACAACACAGAACCTTTAACAAGAAAAGTGGAAGATGGAGTGTGACCCCTGTCAAAGTGGAGAAAAATTATGAACATGTTCACAAGCTGATGGAGAGCATAGTGGTTGCAAGACTGAATGATGAAGAAGGCATGAGTGGACCGGTTGTGTTGGGAGCAGATGACCCAAGGAGGCTAAGTAAAACCATCGCTCCTACTGAACCCAAGCCAACCGAAGAGCTTCTCCAGGAGAAAGTTTCCAGATTTCCTAAGTAGATTATACAAACTGTACCTATGTACTTGATAGGAACTTGCAGTTTTTGAAAATACAGCAAGTCATGTAGATAATCCAATCAAAATGTGAAAGCACTTCATAGAGTATTTCTGCAAAATTTTTATTCACAGTTTTTACAGTGCCTCTGTAAGTCAAAGAAAAATGTAAGCATTCTTTGTTGGTGTAGATTCAAATGAATTCAAATCATACCCCCTTTTGTGGCTAGGTCTGGACCACTTTTGGATTAGTTTTTCCAACACTGAATTGATTGTTGCTTTTCTCATAGCAGTGTTCAGGTGAGCCATGTAGCCCATTGTTGTTGATGTGTCATGAATCACTTGTATAAATTTGTATTTGTATTAAATTTTTATTGGTAAAAGGTATGTGAGGTGACCCTTTGCTATTGTATTTGCCTGTCATAATCTGTAGATGCTAGCTTCTTTTGATCAATTTCAGATGTATGTCAAATGTCAATATTACTTTTGCATTCATGTAGCTTTTCTACTAGAATATCAGGGAAAAAAGATACTCTAATAATTAAGGTAAATTGTATAAATGGCCTACTTGGCTTCATTCACAGATTTCAACCATGATCTCGGGAGGCATCACTTTATAATTTTCTGGGGACTAACTCCACACTATAATCAGAAAATCTATCAGTATTTGTCTGCTACATAAGTATAAACATTTTATCTATAAAAAAAATGTTTGCCTTTTCAAGACCAACTGGCTACCAATGATCTAACTCGAAACTTTTTTTTTAACTTCATAAATGATGTATTTTAAAAATTTATTTACTAGTTTCCTGATCCCATTAATCCTTTTTTTTAACAATATATATGCAAGTGTTTTTTTATGAAAAAAAGTTACCCTACCTACCAATATACATGTATTTATCCAAGGCAGGAAAAGGCAGCAAAACTTATTTCTAAAGATGGCATAAGTAGATTTTTGAGTGTAACAAATATTCATGTCATTTTCATGCTAATTAGGAAGGGTCAATTTAAGTGATCATTACACCAGGTTGCAGTCAAATAATGTAAAAATCATAAATGTTTTGTGAGAATGAAGTTTATTTTTATGAGATATTTTACCACAAAATTTTTAAAGAAATTTTTGTTCAAAGAAAAACAAGAACATTACTATTCAATATAAAAACAATAAAGCAAAATGAAATGTAAAGTGTTGTTTAAAGTTAGCTTTTCATTATTATGGGGCTCCTGTGGAATAGGAACCATTAGTTTTTTTTTCTTCACTGTAATGGATCATCAAGGAATCCTACATAATTTCCAAAACGGTCGGGGAACTGATCTCGTATCTTCCAGATGCAGCAACTTGGAATTACTCTTCGGTTACCCGCACCAAGTTTCCCATGATGCCATAGTACAAATTGGCGGTATGCCGTGTGGCGATTGGCCTTGTTTCTGTCTTCATCTTCAGGTTGTGCCAAAATACCCTGTCGGTAAAGCCTAGCCAAAGCAAGCACAGCTTCATTCAGGATAAGGACATCAAAATCCTGAAAGAAAATACATTTCACGCAAAACTGTTTAATTAAGAAAAAGATCTATTGCATTTCTCATAAAGGCATATGCACAACAAATAACAAGCAGAAACTTACAGGTACTCTTGAAACACAGCTATCCTGATTTCTCTTGCAGCAAAGTCTTTCTCTTTGAGTTGGCATTTCTCTGCAGAAAGTGCAACTGCACCAGGATGGCTGCTGTGATCCCTCAGGAGGAGGATGTCCACTCCCTCCAGCGCTTGGCTGTGTGGAATCTAATATGGTAAAGAGGTACTCTGGGTTTTCCCTCACAACTCTCTGCAGTGTATCCCTCATTTGCTCAGGAGAAAGACTCTCTACTCTTCTCTAGAAAAAAAAAATTATGCGATGATGAACATAAAAGACATTCTTGTATGCAAAACCTATTACTAAAAACAAATGTTTTCAACATGCACATCTTGAAAATAGTTAAACAAAAAGGTTTGATATATTGTTATGTTTGCAAACTAGAGTATTCAAACTTAATGATTACCTCTATATCCCTCCGTCGCTCCTCTAGAGCAGCACTGGCACGGTCAATGTCAGGCTGTCCCCTTCGTCGCCGTCCTCTTATTGGTTGTACCGTTGGTCGTTCTTGCCCTGTTTGTCTCGATCTGGGTCGGCCTCTCCCTCCCCTCATTCTACGTGGCCTACCACGTCCTCGGCCTCTCTGATATTCCCTTTGTGGGCTTGATGAGCTTTCTGAGCTTTGTTCTGATGTCTAATAAAAAGTATGAATACTTTTGCATTTTCATATGCATATAAACATAAGATTAAGTACTCCCTTTCATCGTTTTGAATGACAAATAATGCATTTTTTCTATATAGAATTGTGGGCATGATGATATATAATCAGCTGATGAGGATAGGCGGATATAGCCAAAGAAAACGAACTTGCTAAATTTATTTTATTGATTTATTTGTGCATTTTTTATCATCACTTTAAAGTTACTCGATAATATAATACTTTTTGCTATGAAGAAAAACTTATCTATGAAAATTTAGAAAGCGTTTCGTAAAACATCTCCATTTTCCCGCTTAAATGTCGTTTTTCGTTTCCCTTCATGGGACCTCATTACGCATTGACACTTTGAAATAATGTATTGCAATGCAAGCATGAGAAAAAAAAACTCAGCATTTCATTAAGATTACGTCTTGATGTTCCCAACAAATTTCCATGTGCATATATACTCTAATTACTCATTATTTTCTGCAAAATTATCCATTCTTACCTCGAACTCCATTGTCGATGTTCTGTCATTCACAATCACGTGATATAAATATACGACGTAAAGCCCGAATCGGCATGACCAAAACGTAAAATTCCGGACGATTTTCAACGCGCAATTGTGAGCTAATTAGAGCAGTCAACTACGATAAATTTTCAGCATCGATATGATTTCTATTATTTTATCGACAAGTATAGAAAAAAAATCAAATTAAGCTATTGAACATGAACCGTAAAGTCTCTTTAACTGAGTGGTGTTGATTTTTGTAAAATCTCAGGTCCAAATGTGACCCAAAGTGGCTCTTGCTTTCTGTGCTCCTCATGAAGGTCATAGGAGAGTGTGATCGGCCCTGTAGGAATTGTCCTTGTGCAACAAGACCGACAAAACCGAATACTTGACTGGGAGCTTCCATCAAAATGCGCTGACAAAAATGGTCTTTGGATAGTGAGCAAACATAGGCGTCGGAACCGGGGGGGCTTGGGTGGGCTTAGCCCCCCCACTTTTTTTCCAAATATAAACTTAGTATAGGCATTGAACATTGCTTAGTAGGTTTAGCCCCCCCACTTTCCACAGACACGTTGCAGTATAGGTTAGAAATGGGTAAAGTAATGAAAAAGAAGTGGAGTTTGAAAAAAATTTTCGGTACTGAAGTTCGAAACTTCCCCCCACTTTCAATTTGCTTCCGACGCCAATGGCAAAGACTGCGCCTGATTTCCAATCCATGAAACGCCATAACTGCCCTATGTGGCTATTGCAAAGTTTTTTATATCAATAAGTAATTATTTCATATGAAGATGATCCTGTTATATTATCCTGTTTTTATTTTAACTGAAGATAGTTCTCTATCATATTATGATGTGGTTATCTCTCTATTTTATTATGCTGTAGTTATTTAGTATAACGATGGTGCTTTATTGTAGTAAGCTGTACTTATTTTATATGGAGAATAAGGTGCTCTATTTTATTGTGCTGTGATTATTTTTTATGCAGGTGTTTTTTTTAAGGTGACGATAGTTTTTTTTTCTCTAATATTTAAGGAGTTTCCACCCTCACAGGTGGTTCAAGGTTCAAAGTACAAAAACTGCATTCATTTTATTTAATATACTTTAAACTTTTCATTTAGTGCAAAAAAATGTATAAGTCGCCATATTATTTAAGATGCGAAACATAAAGAAACAGAAGTGTGTGACAACATAAAAAATTGTACATTTTTCGTAATCGAAAATTTATGTAACAAGAGGCCCACGGGCCTTACAGGTCACCTGAGCATTCTGCAACAACTTTCCAGTTATTGAATTTGATTCATGTTTTAAGCCAGATGCTATATGGCATTCACAATTTTGAAAGAGGAACCATTGATCATCATAACAATACACTTAGCAGTTGCATTAGCTTGGTTTATTGATTTGAAAATGTCCAATAATAAATTCATAGGATCTTCATGAACATTTCATGAACATTTCATGAATAAAATTCAAGAAAAATTCAAGGAAATTCATAAATTATTTATGATCACCTGGCAGGGGTACTCAATATCCATACGCAAGGTAGGGGAACAAAAATGCATTCCAACTAATCGGTAATATTCAGCAATAATCAGTAGTGCCCCTAATACTGTGAAATAAACCCCTGACCCTAGGTCCACACATTGCACAATTTTGAAAAAGGCACCCTTAAAATTGCCTATCAAAAATTAAATATTAAATGTTTTATAAATACAAAGGAGCAGATTTCAAACAATTAATTCATTTTCAGTATATAAGTAGAGCCCAAACCCTGACTCTGGGGCCTTACAATTCACAATTTTGCAAGATTAGGGCCCTTGCTCATCATAACTACAAGTAGTTCATCAGCTTCACACCCAGAGACAGAGAAGAAAATTTTCAAAGATTTGATGTATTTTCACTATATAATCAAAAGAGCCCCCCCCACACACACACACACCAGAACCCCTGACCCTGGGACCATAAAATTCACAATTTTGGTAAAAGCACTCTTGCTCATCATAACTATGCACTAAGCTAGTTTATTTAATACCTAGGAGCAGAGAAGAATATTTTCAATGAACTCGTGTATTTTTACTGTATAATCTATAGAGCCCCGCCTTAATACCAGAACCCCTGACCCTGGGACCATAAAATTCACAATTTTGGTAAAAGCACTCTTGCTCATCTTAACTATGCACTTAGTTAGTTCATTTATTACCTAGGAGCAGAGAAGAAGATTTTCAAAGAATTCATGTATTTTTACTATATAATCTAAAGAGCCCCCCCCCCCCCAAACACCAGAACCCTTGACCCTGGGACCATAATAATGCATTTTCACTATATACTTATTTAACCCTGCCCTAGCACTAGAACCCCTGACCCCAGGGCCATGAATTTCACAATTTTGGTAGAGGACTCAATGCTGATTACAATCATGCAAACAGTTTGACTGCTTGATGTCCAGGAGTAAAGAAGAAGATTTTTAAAGATTGCATTAATTTTAGTGGTTTTGGTCCCACCCCTCAGGCCCCAGGGGGGCAGGGATCATGAAATTCACAATTTTTGTTCCCCTTCACCCATAGATGCTTTGTGCCAAATTTGGTTGAAATTGGTTCAGTGGTTACAGAGAAGAAGCTGAAAATGTTCAAATGTTAACACACGACGCACACCGCACGACGACAGACGAAGACAGATAGCAATAGAATTTACTCAGGTGACCTAAAAACTGGTTAAATGCATAATTCTGATGCTGAGTGTTCCTAAATACGTCCTACTCAAAAGATACTTTTGAATTGTCCATATCAGGGAAACTATTTTACAGTAAAGCAAATGCCTGAATGAAGAGACCTTAGAAGGAGCTATTGCCTTTGTCAATATTCATTAAAGATTGAATAATTGATTAAATATTTTTAAAAAATGCATTTTTTAAATTCATTAACTAAACAATATTTATCATTACACCTATTGTAAAGCATTCTTCAAAGAGATATTTTTCTATAAGGTATGAATTTTAACTAATTACAGATTTTGCAAAAACCTTTGACATCAAAGGAGGGTGAAATTACCTTATGGCCAAGGTTTTCCTCATATTTTTCGAGTCACCTGAGTAATCTATTGCTGTGCGTCGCGTGTTAAAATTTGAAAACGATTAGCTTCTTCTCTGAAACCACTGAACCAATTTCAACCAAATTTGGTATACAGCATCTATGAGTAAAGGGGGACATAAACAGTGAATTTTATGGTCCCCGCCCCCCCCCCCCTGGTGCCTGAGAGTTGTGACCAAAACCACTAAAATTATTGCAATCTCTGGACATCAAACAGGCAAATTATTGGCTTGGCATGAATGTAATGTGCATCGAGTCCTCTACCAAATATTGTAAAATTTATGGTCCCAGGGTCAGGGTTTCTAGTGCTAGGGTCGGCTATATAGAATATACAGTGAAAATGCATTATTTCATTGAAAATCTTGTCTGCTACTGGGTTTCAAATAACCCAACTAAGTACATAGTTGTGATAAGCAAGGCTGAATTTTCAAAAATTGTGTCATTTATGGTCTCAAGGTATGGGGTCCTGGAGTTTGGGCAGGGCTCTATTGATTATAAAAATAGTAAATATACATTAATTCTTTCAAAATCTTTTCCTTTGCTCCTGTGTGTTATGCCAATGATCCAAGTTAATACATTAATGATGAAGGAAGGTGCATCTAGCAAAATGGTTATTTCTTATGCTCCTCTTGGGAGTGGTGGTGAAGAGGGGGGGGGGGGGGTACATACTCTGAAAATTGGGGTGTCGACCCCAGTCCCAAAAATATTCCAATTCCAGAAATTTCTGACATGCAAAAAGAACTAAAAACGCACAAACTTCAAAAACTTTTTCGTTTCTGTATGTTTGGGGTGGGGTGGGGTGTTTTAGTCTATGACTTCTTTTGCCTTAAATCTTTCCCTTTTGTACCCATTCCTCACATAATCGCTTTTACTAGGGGGGTAGGGGGTTTGCATATTCCAAGCGGGGTCTACGGTAACTTTTTTTTCTTGCTTTAGTAAATACATTTTTTAACCTTGAAATTCCTAACACCCCCTACCCTTATCTAGATCTGCGCATGTGCGATATGTATGGATTTGACATAAATCACATATTTACCATGACTTGTGAACTCTTTGACATTGGGACTTGAAACATTAGTTTGGTGATTCATCGACTTATGTTTCAATATTTATGGTATTTGGGCATTTCATATGCCGAACCGCCAATATTTCTCTCTATGGGGAACAGATGAATTCACTGCATTCTTTAGGTTTGCAACCAGTCTTGTAGTACTTGATTTGACAGATTATATACAATTTGTTTCAGGACATTTGTAAGTTAAATACCAGTTTGCTAAATGATAGAGTAACCTTAGGCTCGTCCATGAACTTTATCACCACTGCTACATTCAAAGTCTGCATCTTAGCATCTAAATGTTTATAATCAAGTCTAGTCGCCAGCGTAGCGCAGTGGTTAAAGCGTCTGCTGTAGAGTCGCGAAGAAAGGAGTCAATCCTGACGTTGCAGGTTCGAATCCCACTGTGGGACGTGGAGACCGGTCCTTCGAATAAGACCGTACAAACCAATGTCCCATGTCGCAGTAGGTGCTGGCACATAAAAGAACCCTCCCTGCTCAATGGCCCTGAGTGCCGAGTATAGGAAAAAATTTGCAGCTCTCCACCGGTAGGTGGTGGCGTCTGCACATGAGTGAAAATTTCTCGAGAGGAACGTTTAACAATATTCAATCATCAAATCTAGGAGTTTCTACCTTAAGGTTTGTCCTTTTTGTTGTGATGTTGATTATTTCATCCAGCTATTGTGAGCGGTTCAGGACAGTTCTGTTGCAGAGTATATTTGAACAAAAAAAACCAGATCAATTTTTGTGCACGATATTCTCATGTCGGCAGTCATTATTGTGAAAAACTTGATCCACGTCTTCGTGTGTGTGTACCACCATTAGTAATATTTTTATATTCTTAAATAGACCAAGCTACACCAGGTAGCAGATAAAAGGTAGTATGTATCTGCAATTACGGAAGAAACTACTAATGTAAAAACATGACTATACCGGGAGATTTTTTTTACCTATTCTTATTTTCTCTGACAGTGTTACCTATTTGACAGAACGTTGGGCATCGATTCCCTCAAAC